GCTGTCTGGCAACCCTCCTCCTGCTAGCAGCGCGTCAGTCGTGACTTAAAGTTGCAGCGTCTTTACTCCTGCAGGAAAGCAGCTGCCAGCTAACCACCATGGCAGGAAAGAGAGCCATAGTGATCCTGTCTAAAGGCGCAGAGGAGATGGAAACAGTTATTTCTGTGGATATTATGCGCAGAGCCGGGGTGTGTACACGACGAGATGCAGAATGCTAACAGTTAGCAACATAGCCTGCTTGCTTTATTTACGATAGCCACGCTGGACCTCAACAATATCGTAATTTTAAAGTTTCTGATTCAAGCAACTTTTTAAAGTTATATTAATGACAGTAATAGTCTTGTTAATGACGTAATGCAATGATAAATATTGCTTAACTCGAGATGCTTGAATGCTAACATTATACAGCTATAGTTAATAGTTTTGTCCAAATATTTTTCTTTGTTGAATCAATAAAATTTTATCCTTGTTTGCCTGCAGTTTGCTAAATGTAGAGAGTCTCATAACCTTTACAGTGCAGTCTGATGCTAAAAGTTTAAATTTCAAACGCCCAGCCTCATTTAACCTTTACATTCACCTTTCAAAATAAAAGCCTTACAATGCACAAATGATGCCATGTTGTGCTGGGAACCTGCATTGGCGGTCTTAACATTTTTCATCTTTTTTTATTTTATTTGTTTTTGTAGATCGCAGTAACAGTTGCGGGACTGACAGGAAAAGAGCCAGTGCAGCAGAAATGTCGTCATCTGTCCTGATGCAAGTCTGGAAGAAGCCAGCAAACTGGTGGGGCTTAAAATTACACACACAAAGATTTGTTGAGACAAATCCCTCATTTTGTTTTAGTAATATTTGTTGCCCAATGTGTAGTGGCACATCTGCAGAGTCTGCATATGCATCTTAGATCTGTTTACAATATCAATGAGATTTTAAGCAAAAATGAATACGAGAATCAAATCAGGTCTTAAAGTTTAAAATTCATGACTGGAATTACATTGAGTTTTTTATTTTATTTTAATGTCGGATAATGATTTGGTTTCTCTTTCAAGGGACCTTATGATGTTGTGGTCTTGCCAGGGGGGATGCCAGGCGCCAAGAATTTGGCAGAGGTGAGAGAAAGAGAAAGCAGTCAGTACTACACATTTTCACTGGCTCCTGTGCTACCAACTACCCCTGCGGCATTTTTATATATATATATTTTTTTTTCTTTCTTTCGGCTGCTCCCTTCTTCAGGGTCACCACAGCGAACTAACTCGTGTGCAAGACTTGGCAATTGTTTTTATACCGAATGCCCTTCCTGATGCAACCACCGAGCTACCACAGCCCTCTGTGTGGAGCAGAGAGCTGCCATCTAGGGTGCCCATGGGTGCAGATGGTGGAGGTTAATGGCCTTGCTCAAGGGCCCAGAAAGGGAAAAATGAGGGTGGAGACCGGTGTGGCTGCTTCATCTTTTCCACCCACATTTTGAAATTATCGGTCCGGGGAGTTGAACCGGCAACCTTCCAATCACATGCCCACTTTCTCTAGCCTCTACGCCACCACTCCCCTAAGCTGCAACATTCTTAAAGAGGAAATAAATGCAGCTTGATAAACAAGACTGAAGCCACACAATTAGTAAAAGGCTAAATGACTTTGTGATCAGTCATTTTGAGGGTGAAAAT